TCCTCTCCACCCGCCGCCACCCATTCTGTGGGATTTGCTCACCCCGCAGAAGTGCTGGGAGGGTGGCACAGGCATAAACGGGCCAAGCGGCCGCTCTCTCCAGAGCATCACATGAGCCCCTGAACCGCCGCCCGCTGCATCGGCCTGGCGGTGCTGGTGTCTGCTCTGTGGGTGGAAGTCCCAGCCTGCCCGGTCCGGTCCAGCTCCAGCTCCAGCTCCAGCTCCGGGAGAGCCGTGGTCAGTCAGCCCTGGACCTGCTGCTCCTGCTGCCGGCCAAGGCAGCTGCCTCAGTTTCTTCCTAACAAGCGGTATCAGTTCCTTTGTTCTGCCATCTGTTCACTGTTTCTCACCAGCATTTCACTGTGCTCATGCTCATTTGCAGTAGTGCGAAAGAGCAGATCCCTGTGACTGCGGGCATGTGCTAGCAGGTATTCGTCGACACGCATGCGCACGAATGCACATTAGCATAAAGCCTCCCCTGATGGGGAAGAACTGGCCCTCAAGAAAAAGGTGAGGGATTTTAGCCCTGTTCTGGATGGGGTTGCAGTCCCCCTAAAGGACAGGGTGCGCCGCCTGGGGGTGCTCCTCGACCCAGAGCTGTCCCTGGAGCACCAGGTGCCGGCAGTTGCGAGGAGCGCTTTCCTTCAGCTTCGGCTGATGCATCAGCTGCGTCCTTACCTGGTTGGCAACGGTGACCCGTGCTCCGGTAACCTCCCATTTGGGCTAATGCAATGCACTCTGCGTGGGGCTGCCCTTGAAGATGGTCCAGACACATCAGTTGGTCCAGAATGGAGCTGCCAGGCTATTAACGGGACCGGCAGATACTCCCATATCACGCCGGTCCTATCTCAATTACACTGGCTGCCAATTCAAGTCCGGGCCCAACTGAAGGTGCTGGTGATGACCTATAAGGCCCTAAACAGCTTGGGTCCAGGATACCTACAGGAGCACCTCCTTCTCTATGTGCTGGCCTGTCCCTTGAGATCGGAGATCCTTCTCTGGGAGCCCTCTTTGAAGGAAACTAGGAGTGTAGCTACCTGGAGAAGGGCCTTCTCTGCAGTGGCACCCCAGCTGTGGAACACGCTCCCCGGGGAGGTTCGCCTGGCACCATCACTTTATTCTTTTCAGCGTCAGGTGAAAACCTTTTGATTTTCCCAACATTTTAATATTTAATTGGTTGTATCTTTGATTTTATCATCAATGGTCGATGTAGTGTGCTGTCTGCTTGGTATGTTGTTGTTTTCCATCCAGAGGTTGTGGCATTGGACGGCATATAAAAACTTGAAATAAATAAATAAATAAAAGTTGGCTATTGCAGAATCTTCAGGTCCGATTTGGGAAAATTCAGCGGTATAATAGACTCCTTAGGATCCTGGTTCAGGGGTGGGCAGAAGGTAATGTTCCAGATATTTTGGACTTCAACTTTCAGAAATCCATGCCGTGACCATCAACGGTCAGGAATGCTGGGCATCCAAGGCTAAAATATCCGGAGAGCTACTTTCCGTGCATGTCTGCTCAGGTGGATCATGTCAATATCTGGAGCGCAGGCGTGTCAAATGCTCAAAGAGAAACCCGGGCAAACGGGTTAACTTTCACTTGTGCGTTGGAACCGTGGGGACTTCCTTATCCAGAGACGAGAAGCCGGGGTGGCTTCAAGGTTCCCCGGAAACATTTATCTTGGGACCATGACTTTATTAACTGCCTGAAACGCCTCGGCCATCAGGCAATATAAGAACAAGGCAAATACATAATTGCATCAAGTGTGTCTTATTCAGAATCTGGCTGTCGAGGAATATAAATCGCAGGAGACGGGGCGGTGGGAGGCCGAGGGAGAGAGTTCGACACAGCGAGGTCCTTGTGTGAATATTTACTGTTAACATTTAATATTGCCTCTCCGGTGACACGAGGACACGATCCCTGTTCGGAAGGCTGCAGGGTGCCCTTGCTCTCTTGAGAGCTGGAAAGAGAATTGGATATCTGTGGATATATAATGCGGATATCCGTGCCCTCACGTCCACCCGGAAATCTCCTCTAACCACAGAAGCACTTCTCAAGTTTTAGCAGCTGGCTTGCCAGCATGGATCAGAGCCTAATCTCCCCCCACCACTCCCCCACACCGATTCATTAGATGCTGGCAGCAGATTTGGGGTGGAAGGCTGCTCCTGCGGAGGGTGGATGGGGCAGGGCGCAATGAGGATGCCCCCGTTTTCCTCTAGCGGAATATGAGTGATTTACGGGTTTGGACGCTTCCCCTCTGCCATCTGGAGCTGGGCCTGAGCCTCCCAGAGCATCTTTCTGGTTTCAGATCGTAGGGCACTGGGAGGACAGAACAGAGCCCTGGTTCCTGCTTCCCCAAACCGTGTTTTGAGGACGAGGCATCGCTAAGAAGCCAGTGTCCAACCCGGCTGCAGGCAAACTCTGCGTTACAGCTCAGTGATCCACGGAGCGCGGCTGCAGCGGACGGGCGGGTGGGCGGGGGGCTGCTTGAAAGCATCCCCAAAACATGGTGCTCTGAGTAAATGAGATAACACAGAAAGCCGTTTTGAAAGTGGAGCTGCCACTTGCCTCCGGTTCGGAAGCATCACCGCCCCTGACTGCGGCCACTTTGCCACATCTCTCGCTGCGGCGGGCCTTCACTGACACAGCATTTGGAGGGGCTTCCTTTGTTTATTCACGACACCCCACTTCTGGGCTTCAGCTGTAAACAAGAGAGGGATTCTTCTGCTCCTCCTCCTCCTCCTCCCCACGCTCTCATCCTCACCACCGCACGAAGCCGGTGTGCCCACAGCGCGCCAGGGAACTGGAGTCTTCTAAGCCTCTGTTAGTGGGGACGCTTGCGTACTTCGCTGGTTCCCCCCACCGTGGCCCATTTCAGTCCCCGGACCCAGCACTGACTGCAGTGTTTGTGCAGGGTCTTTCCCGTCAGAGGCCCCCCGGTGCTTCCCGTCCAAAGGCACCTGTGCTTTCCATCTTCCCCCTCTTAAAGGATTTTCTGTCACAAACGGGTCACAAACGGCGAATGACAACAGGCGGAGCCCCTTTGACGTTCTCCGGAGGAGGCGGAGCACTGGCTTCACTCATCCGGCCAACCGCTGCTTCCCTTCGATTGCCCTTGGCTTCCCAGGCAGGGATGGGAGGCCCCGGAGCTTCAGCTTGGGGCTCCACCATCTCCTAAGACAGCTCAGTTATTTCCGAGCTCCATCATGACCCCCTTTCAGACAATTGCGGAAATCGTTTAGGCTCGCTGCAGGCCCGCTTCTCTTTCGCCATGCCCCGACATGCCGCGTTTTCGTGTGCCCCTCTCGCCTCTTCTCGGTGCCCTTCTCGAGGGCTGAAAAGGGCTTCTGAGGCCACCAGCCGTTCTCTCCCTGTCTGTGCTTAGCTGCCTCCTTTCATTCTTTACACATATTTTGCTTTGTGAGGGGATAGCCCTAAAAGGTGCCCTCCAGAGACGCTGAACGGACAAATACGAATTTTTGTTGATAAAATTAAGGGCTGCAACATGCCATGTGCAAAAACCTGGGCGTTGATGCAGAGAAGATCCACGCGTCTGACTTCACAGTTCTCCATATCTTTGTCTCCCCATATGACCAGGCAAATGCCTTCAGTCACATGCGCCCAGAAAGTCACCTAGTTAGTATAATTTGTCCGCGTTGCCGAGCATAAAGTGCTTCTGGCTCCATGATTCCAGTTGGAAGTCCAAAGCTGGTAGTTTGCACTTCCTGCTTTTTTGACACAAGTGTGTGTGTGTTTGTGTGTGTAGGTGTGCTAAGCTTAGTGTCTGGCCCCAGAGAACAAGTCAGTCTGATGCAGACTGGGACTGGGAAAAGGACTGGACTGGGCTGGGCTGGGCTGGGACTGGGAAAAGGTGATTTTGGGCCAGCCCCTCTGTCTCAGCCTAGCCTACGTCACAGGGTTGTTGTGAGCCTAAACTGAGAGGAGGAGGAAGGGTGCCATAAAAATGTAACAGACGAGCATTTATTTAATTTCTATGCAGTTCGTAAGCCCAGAGCAGCTCTCTGGGCAATTCCCAGAGTCAGAAAACTGGCAGCACAAAATAAAATAGCAAAGAAAAAAATCAGCAACATCACAGTAGAATTTGCAGAGTATCAAAACCACAGCAGGCCTACAACAATCGCATTCAAGCTCTCCCAAAGCTGAACGATCAACGCAACCGTTTCTTGTGCCACCGTTTCTTCTCCAACTCGAAACATGGGCAGTATCTGTCCTTTTCCACACTAATGGGAGCCGAAGTTAACCCAAAGGTACGCTAGGAGTTCCCGAGACCCCCGTTCTCAGAACATGGCCAGTAAGTGGTGTCTGCCGAACATCGCTCAGCTGACCCGTCCTCTTCTGAACATGAGCGTTTCCGCTTGTTCCCAGGGCTGTGCTGGGAAGCGCCAGGTCCTCGCATGCCCAGGGTCCATCTCACCGGTGCAGGTGCAGTGGCAGTAATGAAACTGCCCCGTACTTACAAAAGAAAGGTGTTCATCATAAAACGAGGGTCTTTTTAACAGGGATCTTTGTCATTGGCAAAGCCCAAAGTTTTCTGCTTTCGGTATAGTAAGGGCTGCTGGCCAAAATGCCTGTTTTGGGGGTAGAGTAGCTCAGCCTATCTAGTCTGTTTGCATTCCCCTGCAGGAAAGGAAGGGCAAAAAAATGGGCTTATAATAAATAAAGCGTTGGTAAATAAACACGTGTTGGGGAAGTTCTTCTTGGTTATGAATAGCGTCTACGGGCACAATGCTATCCAGACTAGATCTTGAGTCGCTGCGCAACAGCCCCGTGCAGGCTGCGATTCACACACCAAAGCGAGGCTCTGCTTCGGAGGGCTGAACTCGCCCAAGGCCGTCACTGAGCGGGACCTGAGCCAGAGTCCAACCCAGGCCAATGCCGAGCATCCCGCACCACGATCCAGCTCCTCGCCTGTCGTTTCTCCTGGGAATAAGAGCAAGTGATGCCTGTTGATTCCAGTTTTTCCCCTCCCCTCCCTTTGGCAGGTGCTGGCAGAGAAGGGCTTTGGTGCCATCACAACCGAAATCCGTGAAGCTCCGGAGTTCTATTATGCGGAAGAATATCACCAGCAGTACCTCAGCAAGCACCCCAATGGCTACTGCGGAATGGGGGGCACCGGGGTCCCCTGCCCCATCGGTCTCAAGGAGTGATTCTTGGAAGCAGGACTTCGCCGGAGCCTTAAAATTCTGCGTAAACTGTTAAGGGGGGGTGCTTTGGATTTGCAATAGGGCTTAACTGCAGTCTCCGCTGGATTAAATCAATGGCACTTACTTAGACACAGGGAAAGGCTGAGAGCTGAGTAGCATATGGGAAAACGATACACGTGCTTTCTTTTGTCAAGGGTCTCCTCGTCCTTCTGAGCAGATCAGGAGCAAGGCTTTCTAGCTAGAAGTCTTTGTTTGGCTCAGGCTTGCTAGCTAGGCTGGTTTTGTGCCACAGAAGTCAGCGGCAGAAGAAAGGTCGGGTGCTGGACTAGCAAAAAGCAGCGTAGCGATTTGAAGTTGCCTCTGCCTGCTCCCAGATCGGCTTGCTCCCCAGACTTTCCCACAGAACTGCTGGATTCTCCACCGCTGCTTGCCTTAGCTCTGGGCCCTCCTGGCCTTGGCAGGGCAGCTGTGGATTGCAGCCCTTCCGCAACCCTTGAAGGTTGGATTATGGAAAGCGGAGGCCCCATCCGTGTGTTCTTCTTGGACTGTACCATTACCAACTGCAGGCAGGGGAAAGCAAGAGCTGTCAATCTGCCAACCGCACAAATACAAAATCTGCTAAGAGAAAGTCGGCACATCCAAGCAAGGTTTATACCTGTCCCATTGTACTAACTTGGGCTGGCATGCTAGCTTGGTAGGGAGAAGGTGCTTGGCAGGATAGGGTGGAGTTAGACTGCCTCCCTTGAAAGAAAACCAGGAAAACACCCCCACCATCACAAAAAGTCCTGAATTCCCTCTGCCCTTTTATAGGGGAAGAAGGCCCCCTAAGAATGGCAAAGGACATTCAGTAGCTTGCTTTGTTTTGTGTTCTTTTCGTTTTGTTTTGCTTAAGTATAGGAACATTAAGCAACTGCAGCTTCTCCATCTGTAGTCTGGAGTGGTACAGTCCAGGAAGGCCTGTACTAGGCTACTCTGCTGAATATGGATGCACCAGAATCCCACCGCTAAAATCTGCTGTCTCTGTGGTCCTAAGGTTTTCTAAGATCTTACACACTGAATGCCAACACAAATTTCCACACCATGCTAGAAATCTGAAGGAGAAAGATGAGGCTGTACATTCTCAAGCAAGAGGCAGAAGAGATGCTGGGTAAAACTTTTATTGTGAGCTGCCTTGAGATCTTTGGGTAGTGGGCGACATATACATGGAAATATAGATAGATAAAGATGATCCCACTGGAAGTGAGTCTGGGGTGAAGGAGCTGCAAGCAGGGACTTCCACCCCCCCCGCCCCAAACCGATGCCAGGGTATATTTAGGCCCGTTGGCCATAGCTAGCCCCCAAGCCTTGTGCTGTATTGGGGCCACAGTCTCTGTGTGTGTTACACTGGCAGAAGCTAATTTGGGCTAAAGGAACGCCAAGGTCCTGGTTTTAAATCCTAGCCGTGGCATAAAGCTTTGACTATCCTCTTGGGACGATGAGGACACGGGCTGAAGGAAAGCGTGAGCACCAAGTGCTTTGACTCCCGGGAGGTTCCGTTGCTGAAGGAGCCGCTAAGCCAAATGCCTGTGGTACGAAAGACAACGCTGCCATTTCTTAAGATCTTCCGCTCAGGGTACCTTTGCGTTCGCACCAGCAATGTCTGTGGCATGCCAGGATGCCGTAGAACGGATTCCCTGTTCCTCTCCCCACCTAACCTCACTGAAACGAAGAGAAGACGGCATCACGTGCGGTGCAGTGCAGGAGCTCAATCTGCCAGGGGATCCCCTGGCTTGTGGGTGCAGTTCGATGAATTTGCAGAGCCTAGGAGTTGCTTAGCAGCCCCGGTCTTCCCCAGATGCCACCTTCCCTTCCCCAGCCCACCCCTGTTCCCCCAATCCACAAATCATTTGGTACTTCGCTTGTTTCCTCCTATTTTGAAGGTCGGAGTGCCTTTTCTACAGCTTAGCGTTTTGCAGCAAGGGCTTTCACGCAAGAATAAACGGGTATTTTTGACCTCGCCCCTCCCGCCCTCCTCTCCAAGAGTCCTGAAACCTTCCCAGAGATGGAATCTAGCCCTCTTCTGGAAAGCAGTGCAGCGGGAAGGCAGCCGACAAGGCCGGGGGATTGGCTGGGTCAAACCCTCCCATCTGGTCCTTAAACAGTGTCCCTGTTGAGCTCCCCGTTAATGAAAGCACCGGTCCTGAGACTGCCCCGTACTGCTCCTCTCGGCCGACTTTCGCGTGCTGTGGCACACCTGCCCCCTGCTTGAAGCCACGATCCCGCAACCCTTTCAAGGCACCCTCGTCTCGCCCCACGGCTCGCCGGCGGGAGCAGGCCGGTTCGCTGCTCGAGGAAGCCCAGGCCCGTGGCGTTGTGTGGCATGTTATACCTCTGAATTGTTCTGCTGCTCACTGTCAAGGAAACGAGCACGATCCTGGGTCTTGCAGCCACGGGGGTGAAAAGGAAGCGCACGGGAGCAAGGACTGTGGCATGGTTCTGCCTCTTTCCTCGTGCCACCGTCGCCTCTCTGGTCTTTGGTCGGAGGGCAGCATTCGCTCCCCTGCCGCACGCGTGTGCCCGCACGGGGCCGGGCGAGCCCCCTTTGGGCTTGGACGGGTGCCTTCCACAGAGAGCAGCCCAGCTTCAGCACCACCGTGCGTGGGCCCCTGCGTTTGACCTTGCGCCAGTGCCGATGCTGCAGCAGACCCAGCGTGTCCGCAGTGGCTTCCAGAAAATCAATGGCCCACTTTGGCTAGCGTCCTGTCCCTTTTGTTCTGCTGATTCATCAGCACTTAGTGGTGGGTCATTCCTAGTTCAATTGCAGCTTGCAGTCGTTTGAGTTCTGCATCCCCGCCTCCTCTTTCAGTCCTTCCTGGCCTCTCAGAGCCATTAGAGTAAGGATCCCGGTAAACAGGCCCTTGGACACAATGGTCTCTCCTGGTGGAGGCCTTGCCCTCACGTGAAGATGTCCTGTGCAAATTCTTAGAGGGGCGGCAAACGCAACCGAGGTTTGAAGGCCAGGTTTCTTGTGGCACAGACGTGTGTGGACAAAAGGTGCTCAGCTGCCATATCTGAAAAATGCAGAGAATGAAAAATACGAAAAAAGTCGAGAGGAAAGAGAACGGAAAGCATCAGCACAAGGTGACAACACCGAGAAATTTCCAGGCGTCAGATGTGCACAAGGACAGTGGTGGGTCTCTGTAGCCCTAACGCACTGCGCCTTCTGGTGCTCATTCCACGGTGGCAGCGGGGAACTCGTTCCTGACCCAGCGGAGACCGAAACCAATAGGGTCCCTCGACAAATCCTCCTTCGTCGATTCAGCCCTGCCCTTGCCCTTCTGGTGTTGTGGCGTTCATGCAGTGGTGGTTTTGAGAGACCAAAATAGTTTCCCATTCTCCACGGGCACTTGTTTTACACTTTCTGGAAACAAAATCGAAATTATATTTTACTTGGGTTAAACAGTTTACAACCCCCTTTTTAAAGCTAGCGGACATGCCCCCCTCCCCGCAGCATCAGTGTCTCTCTGAAATATTAACACCGTTTCGACTGACTCACTGGTAGAGAATGCCACCCTTCATCTATCTCCCTTGGGCCCAGCCATCATGGCCAGTGGCCAGGGGCAAGGCAGCTTGTAGTCCAGCATCTGGGAGGCCGCAGACTCTTCACCCCTTCACCTAATTGGCTGCAATTCTGCCCCTTTTTGGTCTCCTCTCCAGACCCTCCTGAGTCATAAAGCAATGCAAGGAGGGGGGTATAGGAGCTGAAAAGCGACTAGGCTTGTCTGGGCCAAAAGAGTGGCAGAGTCTCATGGAAGCATAAAAGGCTGAGGGCAACTGCAGAGGGAGAGATCCCGACTCGCTGACGGCCTTGCAGGCAGTTTCTTGGAGCACAGAATTGCTCCCTTAAAGTCTGAGTGCGGCAGAAGCTTTCGCGGAATAGAGTCCATTTGATTAGACACATAAAGTATACAGGTAAGCATGCATCATGCACATTTCAGCTTAGCTGACTGAAATAACACCCACGGAGTCCCGCACCCCCAAGAACCGGGCAAGGGACTGAATAGCGGTCTTGCCACTCACGGTCTTCGATCAGCCCTCCTCCAGCGGCTTTGGACAGCACCTTCCGGCATTCCTGTCCTGCTTGGTGGAGTTGGTGGAAGGACATCCCATAGGCTGGCCTCCGCTTCCTACAGAACTCATGAGACGGCACTGGAATTGGCACTGGAACCAAAGCAGCCTTGCAGGGCAATTCGTGGACGTTATCCTGACTGTGCGATTCAGCAGGGTTTACTTGGAGAGTAAATCCTCAGGAGGGCTCCAGCTAGACAGGTGAGGTTCTCGCAGCACGGATTCCGAATACTGGGTCACCACTGAGGTCTCGGCCATCTGCGGGGACTGGGCAAGGTGTTGCGGAACGCTCTCGTCAGACAAAGTGCCAAAGTCAACCGTGTTATTGTGTTCAGAATAATGTCCTGGGCCACACTGAATGGCGTTCATTTCCGGCATAACCATGCTGCATTTCTGAAGAGTCCTGACTAGATCTTTTCATAAATGCACCAGAATTCATGCAAAGGTATATTCTTCAGTGATAATGCAGAACATTGCTTTATCAGTAATAAGAACGCTACTATACTCAGTATTTCTTTAACTTTTCTTGACTGATTTTTTGGTGCACACTGCCTGATTCCATGTATAGAATTCCCAGGAATGACGTGCAATATTTAGGTTGATCCCATAATCCCATTTTCTGTCGACCTTGTTAGGAAACTCATCTCAGCCTTTCTGCAATGCATTGAATGTCCATGCTCTTTTTGGGATGCCTGGTCTTTGTACTTTATTGGTAACCTATGCATTCACACGTCTTCTGGAATGAGGGAGGACTTTGTTCAAGGTGAGATTTGTTTTTAAAGTGAAAACAGCCTCAAATTAGTGCTGCCAAGCCCAAGCCATGAACAAATGTCAGTCATAGAAAGACTGCTGAGTCTCAGAAAATGTCGGTCGGGATAGCCACCCTAAATCTCGATTAAAGCTTAATGAATTGTGGGAACCCTGTCTTTGTACTCGATGTATTTTTGTTGCATCTTTTCTCAGGACGTTCCAACACGCTTCCTCCTAACAGAGATCGGGTGAGTGGGTCTTAGTTTGGGTTGGACTCGGGGACCTTCTCTGGCAAGAAACAGGGAACTGGAGAGATCCTCTTTTCCGCGACATGACCTGCACCTCATCCTCCGGGCAAAGCGCTACCCTCTCTGCACATTTTTGTCACTTGCATTTCACAGGAACAGGAGAAACGCTTTCAGTAATAGATGCTGACCAGGGTATGCAAAGAAGGGGACTTTGACCTCCCCCTTCCCCCCACCATGGCATTGTCCCACCGAAAGTGTGAGCCCCACAACCTGTTTGCCCTTGAAGCTGTGCTTTCCTGCAGTGGACCAAATGAACCTGTCTTCCTGGAAAACAGGAATTTATGTTAAGAATCCCCTTTTTGCTTTGCTGTGCTTCGCTTGATGCGTTTACACGTCTATCCTGTATTTTTCCCTCTTGGAGGAACTCAAGGTGGCTTACGTGGTCCTTCTCCACTCTGTTTTATCCCCACAACAGCCCTGAGAGGTGGGCTGAGAGTCAGGGCCTAGCTCTGAGTCACCCAGTGAAGCTCCTGGCTGAATGGGGTCTCCCACTCAGATGGCCTAAGTCCTAGCCCACAATTTTGACCACTGCACCACACACCTTATTTGGGTAGCCACGAAAAGCCGGAGACCATCTGGTTCCACAAGGATGGATCGATGTCCTAAATGCTGCTTTCTCCCAGTCCTTTTGCCCTGCTTGCTTGTCCTTCCCCGCTCCCCCGCCGCGTCACTCTCTGAGATATTAGACTCTCGGGACGCCCCCCACTCCAGCGGTGCTCTTACCCGTGTGGGTTCTTCACGGGAGTTTCTAACTGACTTGTTGAGTAGATTGAAGGAGTTTCAGATAGATCCTCGGTAAGTTGACCTAGATCAGGATGTTCTTTGGCTTCTCATCATCTGTAGCTTCCGCAACATCTTTTGCAGAAATCATTTCCCCCGTAATCGCTCTAAAGAGTCATCGCTGCTGTGATGACACGCCTGCAGCAGCTGCTCTCCGTGGCGGGAGAACAATAGTCCTGCTTTGCGAGGCTGAATCCTCCCTTTGCGCCCGCATCTGCTGCCTCAACCGACCCTCCCCAAGTAGGGTTTGGCAGCTACCCATGGGGTACTTGGGCTCAGATTCAGCGCCTGCTTAAAGGTCCGGATGGGAACCTTGATGTGGGACCTCCCATGCACAGATGGACACATTTCGCCATGCCGACTCCCAATTTGTCATGGAAAGAAACATAGATACAGAGCGAGTCAGAAGGGGCCTCCCGGGCCATCTAGTCTGACCCCTGGCTCCAGCCGGCTCCGCTCACGACATGCCCACCATGCGCATGTTCAGCCTATCCTTGAACACCCTCACCGATGGGGCCTCAACCACCTCCCGAGGAAGCCCATTCCACACCCTCGGGGTCCTGACTGTCAGGATGTGCTTCCTGGCATCCAAATTGAACCATATTTCATGAGCTTGGCTCCACTCAATTAATTATGGAAAGAATTTCAATGTATTATGGAAAGAAGCCACAGTGGAGTAGCAGAGCATGTGAGAAGTTTCCAGATCCATTCTTCAGCACCTCTGAGTAGGAAGGGGAAGAGATACGAGACCACCATTATTGAGGGTGTGTCCTCCTTTTCCATCCTGACTGGGAGCAGTGGGCATGGCTGGGGGGAGCCAAGCTCTACCCTGATGGGACCAGAGTTCCGAGTGGCTTACAAGGCAAGGTCCCCACGTTTTCCACTTGGGGGTTTTGCTAACGCCGTATCTTCTGGCAGGTTCTTTGTGGGCACTTTAAGCATTCTGCCCCCTTCCTTTTGCAGACCCTTGGCAGGGTTGCAGGGGCAGGCCTGCTGGTCTCTTACAGCTCCCAAGCGGAATCCTTTATTCCACTGAAAGGGTGGGGGAGATACTCGATTGTAAACACGGCCCCTCCTCAGCCAGTCACTCCCCTGGCAAGACCAGCTCCTTGCTCTCCTCCTGTCCCAAGCCCATCTCCCGTGCCCCCTGCCTTATTTTCCACCAGATTCCACTCGTTACGGATGATCCCAGCAGTGGCTCCGTCCGTCAGTGGCTGCTTTCAGTCTCCAGTGGCATCTGGTGAGCCTCTGGTGAGCATCTGATGGCCACCTTCCCTCCCAACCTTTATCTCCGGCGTTACAGTACCTCCATCCAGGTTTTACAGCCCTTGTTCCCAGCCCATTGCGTGCCAGATTTTTGGGTCTGACCTTGCAATTTATCAGTCCTGCCTTGTGGTGACTGAAGATTAATAATAGTATTAGGAATAATGACAACAACAACAATGGTGCAATCGCCTTGTTTGTCCAGCAAAACACCACTGGGGGTTCCTGTGTCTTTGATTAAATACTTCCTGTGCGCAAGTTCAGTCAGTCCTTTTACTGCTTGTTGATGAATGCAGGTGAATGATGAATTGCCCTGTGAATTGCTCCCTGTTGCCCAGAATTTTGTTTAAAGGAGGGGAACTTTAATTACAGGCAGTCCCTGAGTTATGAACACCTGAGTTACAAACAGTCCATACTTACAAACTTCCAAAAGCCTATTATTTTTTAAAAAATAATTGCAGAAAATCGTCAGCACCATAGAGGAAGTGAAAGGGGAGAGGCCACCAAATTGTGCCTTCCTACCCTGCACATCTGCAGAGGGAAATTTCTTCCGCATTTCCTTGCTGCAAAGGGGAGGCACTGGTGAGTTTGGGCAGTGGTGGGGAGGTGCTAGAGATATTTGCAGTTTTCCACTTACACAGGGGTCCTTCACCCATAACTCCCACAAAGGTGGAGGATCAATTATACATGATCCAACTTCCATACAGACCCAATGTAGACAAATTTCCATTCGCTCAGGAACGGGACTCAGTTGTAACCTGGGGACCGCCCTGTACTGGTTTCCTTCATTTCTTGTTATTATTTTTAAGATGGCGACATTTCATTCTTTCCCCCAAAATGTCTCAGTTCCTTTGATGTCCTGGGAGTGCAGGGACACCTTGTGAGTCAAAAAATAAGTGGACCAGAAGGGGGCTGTCCGTAAACCCGCTGTCTCTCTGCTTCCCTGCCGAGACTGCCCAATCCTGACCGCCATTCCCTCGCAGCCCTTCCTCCTTCCAGCGTCCCAAGAGCCCCGTGGACTTTCCATGGAAAGGGCCGTCCTGGAAACCCCCCCCCCCGGTTGCTGGGACCGCCAGGGCCTGGACCCCCAGCATCCCATTATGATGTCACCGCAGGTGGGAAGGATGCCACGGGGGCAAGCAGATGTGGGAGGCACTGCGGGTGCAGCAGATTTCCTCTGACCTGTCCAGCGAGGATGGGAGGGTTTGATGCTTCGGGCAGTTTCGGCTCTGGGCATGAAGTGGGGCGAGCTCTTTAGGATAAGGTCAACATGCCACTCCGGGGTCTCCTGTTTCTAGCGTTGCTCCTGAGGCTTCCCTGTGCAGGTAGCTAGACTCTCTCCCCATGTTTGTTCCTTCAACCCTGACTCCCTCGGGGCGAGGAGACCAGCACCCACTCAGTGCAGCCCACGAGATCCGGGAGAAGGAGGACCAAAGCCAGTGGCAGCTGGTGACTCCCTTGGCTCCCAGCCCATCTGTGTGAGGAGCTATCCTTGGTGCTGAAAGTACAGGCTAAAACTCAGAGTAGATACCCTGCCTTACCAACACTGGAGCCAATGATCAACACCCGAGGCATTTTACATAGAAACATGGAAACAGAGAAACAGAGAGAAGGGGTCTCCTGGGTCATCTAGTCTGACCCCCGGCTCCAACTGGCTCTGCTCATGACATGCCCACCATGTGCATGTCCAGCCTATCCTTGAACACCCTCACCAATGGGGCCTCAACCACCTCCTATGGAAGCCCATTCCACACCCTGGGGGTCTGAACTGTCAGGAAATACTTCCTGGCATCCACCCTAAATCTTGGTTCCCTGAGTTTTGCTCCATTGGAACACGTCATGCCCTCCACTGCAGGGGAAAAAGGGTCATGACCCACCTGTGTATGGCACCCCCTCATGTACCTGTATGTCGCCAACAGACCCCCTGAGTCTCCTCTTCTCCAGGCAGAAGAAACTCAGTTCCCTCAGTCTCGCCTCATACGGCATCCCCTGCAAACCGGCCACCAACCTTGTGGCCCTGTGCTGCACTGACTCCAACCTGGCTATATCCTTTCTGTAACGAGGGGCCCAGAACTGAGCACAATACTCCAGTTGCAGGCGCACCAGAGTCGTACAGAGTGGCAGTAATTCCTCTCTCGATCTAGAAGCCACACTTCTGGCTATGCAACCAAGGGTGGCGTTTGCCCTCTTGGCCACCGCATCACACTGCTGGCTCATTTACAGAAGGCCAGCAAGGCCAGCATCACTCTCCCAAAGCTGTAAAATGGGCACAACATGTACGGGAAGTAGAGCTTTCCCATTGTTTCCCAGCAGAGCAGCACACTCCCCATTCTGTTCCCCTTTCTTCCTGCGGCCTGAGTCCCAAAACCCAAGCCGGCTCATGGATGGAGGCAAGAACCGGGGAGGGGTCTCCACCAGCCACGCTGGAGACGCTCCCCTGGCAGGTCAGCATCGAGACCAAGGACAAGCCTGTCTGTGGGGGGGCCATTCTGAGCAGCTGGTGGATCTTGTCTGCAGCCCACTGCTTCATGGGGGACACGTGAGTACTGAGGAACGGCTCCAGGTGCTTGCAAAGCCTATTCCGAGGGAGGGGCATCTTAGCTGGTGCACTGACGTTCAACACAGACCTTTGGCCCTGCAACAGGCCGCTCTCAAAGGCTGTTAGGCAGTCATCAGGCAGCAATCCCACAGGCTTGGCAACGAGCTAGCCCTGAGGGTTGCAGGAGTGCAAAGCACATTCCTGCGGTCGGGGAGCCCTCCAAGCGGCATCATAAGGACCCAGCATGTTCTACTTGGCCATGGAATGCAGGCCGGCCATTGGGAGAAAACGCTCAGAAAACCCGAGTTGGGGGACGGAATGGATTCCCGAAAGGCCATGGTGGGCTGGCTGGCACCCTGAACCGGGGCACACCCACACTGGAACATTTTGTTGTAGGGTCCATCTGCAGATGGCTCTTCTCCAGCACCCCCCAAGGCCGGCCTCTCAGTTGGTTTGCTTGGTGGCCGTGGGGCCAGCTTCCCCTTTCTTGGCCTCCAGCTTCCACGTTGCCTCCTCAGCAGGCTGGCTAAGACAGGCGTGTGGTCTGTGGGGCCCCTCTGCCCCGCTGAAGACCCCCACCAGGCCAGATGCCTGCCTGGCGCCTCCTCCCGGCTGCAGGGGTGTGGGACCCGTTGCTCCCAGTCCGGCCCAGGCCTTGCCACTCCAAAGACCAGCCAGGCGGTTCCCAGCGCACGCCCCACAGTTCTAAGGCAGAGTCAGCACTAGCGTCCAGCATTTCCGATGTCCTGAGAGTGGGCAGAGGGGGGTGCACGCAGCCCAGGGGACCCTCTCCGAGCAGTTCGCTGGTCCACCTCACCTCGTGGGTGAGCCGCATCCCTCCTCTTCGTCCCCAAGTTTTTCAGATCTCCAGATAGTGGTCGGCTCCAAGAAGGATGCCCCGGAGACCAGGAAGCTGGACCGGGTGGTCATCCACCAAGACTTCAATGGCGTGAGCCTGGTCAATGACGTTGCTCTGATCTTGCTGGACTCGCCCGTGGGCTTTGGCGATGCGAAGGCGCCCATCTGCCTGCCCTTGCTGCACGACCTCGGCATGTGGCGGGACTGTTGGGTCGCCGCACGGGGGTCCGTCACGGCAGGTACCGAACCTCCTCATCCGGGGCTGAGGCTGTGCAGGCTCCCGCCCTCCCGCAGTTCTGACGTCTTCCTTGAAGCCACAAATTAGATGGACTTTTAGTGATGAGTTTATGGTTTTGCCTCACGTGCTGCTGGCAATTTTATACCCCCACTGTTACTGGCTACATTTATTTATGTATTTAAGCATTTCTATACCATTCGATTACCAGAGCACTTTCAGTATGGTGTACAGAATCCTATTAAAACAATATATCATTCAAATTTAAAAACAGATTTAAAACAAACACGCCTGCCATAAAACATCCATACAACAATTAAAAAACAGGCATGTACAAGTCCACAATTCTTAATAATCTATAATCAATCTATTTATCAAATTAATAATTTGTTTAAAAAACCCTTCCTTTCTGAGCAGGATCACTTCCTCCTCCTGCCTTCAGTCCGATGGTGTCTGTCCTGAAGCCAATTCAGAGTGAGGGCAACATGGACTCCTTGCCCTCACTCTGAATTGCTAATTGCTTGCTAATTCTCATCATGCTTTAAGTTGGATTTCAGAGTGATGCCATCCAAACGAAGACTTGAGAAATGTGGCATGGATCCCAGTGGCCATTCTCCTTGGGATGGATGTGTCCTTCTCCCAGGCAGGGGTGCTGATCCGCTCTCTAGGTCACGGTGGGAGTCTTGAGGTTGCATGCAAGGCCCAGATTTAAAGCAGCCTTTGGACCCAAAGCTCAGTCAGGATGGGTGTCTCTGCTTGCTCTTAATGACCCCGCCGCAGTGCCGTTTAGAAGGCAGCAGGCCAGGAACTTGGTCTGAAGGCAGAATCTCATTTCCTGCAGCGGGGACCAGCCATAAGCGCTCCCTGGGGCGGTTCGGGGTGCTTTTCTTTCAAGCACAGAAAGCAGCGACCGGCCTTAGGGTTGTGCTGTCCCGATTTTGTCCTTGGCCTAGCCAACAGGCCAGCCGTTGACCAGCTTCCAGCCCCAGCTGAAACACCCACCCACCTGCAAGCGATTTCTTGCTGGTTTCTAGAAGAGATTCTAGAGATGACATTCATCCAGCTCATATTTTAATATGAACGAACCTAATTCAGTTCTTTCACATCCCTGGGTGAACGGAAACCCAGCTATGCTTTCGGCATTCTTGCATCTCCAAATTTTTCAGTGGAGATTTCCAATCTAAAATGCATACAACTCTCTGCATATCCGTTCAAGTATATGCAAGGGTTGGAAAACAACATGCCTGTTTTAAGCCAAAATAAATGGATTGGGAGAAATGTGATAAATTCTTATTGGTTTTTATGAAAGCATGAAAAGAAAGAGGAAAGGAAAGGAAATCTCAAAGCTAAGAACTGAACAAACTTAATCACAGTCTGAGAGAAGTGGGAAGTGTGGGGACCATCCGAACCTCCCGTGGGATTCATCCCTGTCCTGTCTCAGGTGCTCTGAACAGCCCCTCTGTGCCTGCAGGTGGCAATGCGAAGTCCGCCCACGTGCTGCAGAAAGTGCAGATGAGCTTGATCGGCAGGGAAGCGTGTTCCAAGCAGGTCCCGGGACTGGCGGGGGACGTGTTCTGTGCGGTGTCCGAGGAAGGTGGAAAGGAGGCCTGCAAGGTACGGTGAACCTAGGGCTGTGCTATACACCTCGACTCCTTCCAGCTGCCAGCACTTGGTGGGCAGCTTCCAGACCGATGGCAAAGACGTTCTAGGCAGGTTCTAGGTAACCCAAGTTCTGGGCATGCCCCTAACGTCCAAGTCCTGACCAAAGGGGGGCAGATGCCTGTCTTCATTCCTTTATACCAGCCTTCCCCAACCTGGCACCTTCCCTGCAGGGGATGATGGGAGTTGGCACCCAGCACATTGGGTTGCTTTATACAGTTCCTTCCTTTTTCTCTTCTCCTCTTTCTCTCCCCACATTTCATTTTCCTCCTTCGCTGCCCGTATGATTTGTGCATTAACAGCGTTCAAGAAACGACAAGCAACGGGTGTGTAAAGAAAAGACCAAGGGGAAGAGGGAGGTTGGGGTGAAAAGAGGAAAGTCCATGAAAGAGTAGTGGCAAAGGAAGCAGTCCCTGTTTCTAAAGGGCTTTTGCCAAGCTGGCCCATCAGAGCATGCCTGATGCCGGGCCCTGCCCCATGGACTCACAGTTCCACAGTACACCCTCAACTCAGCATCTGCTCATCTTTTGGGTACCAAAGGACGCCTTATGATTTGGGGAGCAATATGGCCATGTATCCGGAAGCTTTCTCTAGGGATGTGAGAGGAGTGGGACCCACTGGATTCCCTGGGATCGGCTCCCCAGGCTTCAGTCTGTATCGCAGTAGCCCAGAGTCCAAGTACCGGGCGAGCGGCCCCGAGCTCCCCCGGTGCTGGCCAGGAGTCGAGCGTCAAGCGCAGTGCATGGAAGCCCCACTGTGTCCTACACAAGCAAGCACAGCGAGCGGGGAAGACGGCCGGGCTCTGGGAAGGGCGACCAGCCCTGGCCCTCTCGGTGCCCCCTCGGTGCCGCATTCTGCCCAATTGGGTATCCGTGGGCATCTGTGGATTTCCTCTTGGCTCGGCTCGCTTCGCAGGACCAGGCTGAGCATGGGAGGAACGGACGCTCGCGGGACCGGTTCCAAAAGGGTCCATCCCAACCCCGCCGGTGTGCGTCGCACACAGTTGCGAACCTCATTGCGCTGCCTGATTTCGTTTGCTCGGAAATTATTAATTGTGTAGAACAGCAAAGCTGCCTCCTCACATCTTTCTGGAGAACGGCAGAGCTCGCCTAACCTGGGGCCACCGGATGGGCCTCTGCGAGTCTCTTCCCACACAGGTTTGCGGTGCGAAGCCCTCCGGGCTGGTTTGTGACCGATTTCTCTCCTGCTTTTCCACCTCCGTCGCTGCCGCAGGAGGACAGTGCTGGAAACCCGCTGGTTTGCACCTACGGAAGCCACTCGAAGTGGTTCGTGGTTGGCGTGGCCAGCCGTGGCGGGAGCTGCAGTGGGGAGGAAAGCCCGGCCATCTACACAATTGTCTTCAGCTACCTCGACTGGATCCAGCGGGCGAGCGCCAGCGAGGGCAAGCCGTTCATCCCCGAAGGTGTGGACGACTTCGCGGAGCTCATAGGAGACCCGGCTAGGGAGCTCGAGGCGGCATCTGGCGCTTGCCCCCTTCCCGCAGCCCCTGCGCTCGCTCTGGTTTGGGTGCCGCTACTGCTCCATTTCTAGCCCAATCCCTTTCCCCCAGATATCCAATACCGTAAAAGGCTAAGCGTGACACTAACGCTCACCGGGTCACAACCAGTTCAGCTTTATTTATGTAGCAATAAATAAAACAAGAAATAATAATTAAAAAAAGCCGCACACGCAGCCCGCCAAATGGGCTTCCTTGCTCGTTAGAGAAATTACACGGGAGATGTGGGGCTTTGTGCAATGGAGGGGGACATCGTGTGGCTGCTCTCGGTATGGCAGAAGTCCGAAGGCCGCAGAAGCCGTGGAACCCAGTGGGGCAGCCCCAGTTCCCGTGGGACCTGCTCCCCCAGCCTCACGCCCAGTTCCGAAGTGCAGCTTCACATTTCACGACAGCTCTTGGGACCCCCACTGCTAGGCACAGCTCCCTGCCCCCTTGCCCTCTGGCCGTCAAACCCGGGACGATCTTTTGAAGTGCAATTCTTCTTTTGCATCTGAACGGATATCATAGAAACACAGAAACAGAGCGAGTCAGAAGGGGTCTCCCAGGCCATCTAGTCTGACCCCCGGCTCCAGCTGCCTCCACTCACGACATGCCCACCATGTGCACGTCCAGCCTGTCCTTGAACACCTCCCGGGGAAGCCCATTCCACACCCTCGGGGTCCCAACTGTCAGGGAGTGCTCCCTGGCATCCAAATTGAACCTTGGCTCCCTGAGCTTGGCTCCGTTGGAGCGCGTCCTGCCTTCCTCTGCAGGGGAGAACAGGTCTCTACCCACCTCCGTGTGACATCCCCTCGCCTGGTCAGCAAGGTCTGTCTGTTCACACATAGAAACAGAGGAAGTCAGAAGGAGCCTCCCAGGCCATCTAGTCTGGCCCCCGGCTCCAGCCAGCTCCGCTCACGACATGCCCACCATGTGCACGTCCAGCCTATCCTTGAACACCCTCACCAATGGGGCACCAATGACCTCCCATGGAAGTCCATTCCATACCCTCGGGGTCCTAACCAGCAGGAAGTGCTTCCTGGCATCCAAATTGAACCTTGGCTCCCTGAGCTTTGCTCCCTTGGAGCACGTCCTGCCTTCCTCTGCAGGGGAGAACAGGTCTCTACCCACCTCCGTGTGACACCCCCTCACATACCTGCATGTTGCCAACAGATCCCTCTGAGTCTCCTCTCCTCCAGGCTGAAGAGACCCAGTTCCCTCAGTCTCGCCTCGTACGGCATCCCCTGCAAACCGGCCACCAACCTTGTGGCCCTGCGCTGCACTGACTCCAACCTGGCTAGATCCTTCCTGTAATGTGACGTTCAGCACAGCTTGAATTCTCAGTCACCTACTGGCAAAGTTGAGGGAGATGCATCTGCCCATGTGAAGAGGAACCAAAACTGGAAGCTCCCTGCCTGCCGTTCCCTTTCGGGAAATGCTTGGGGCAGCCCCTTTCTCTCGGTGCTCCCTTACTGGGCCAGGTTTGCCTGTGATGCCAAATTATTTAGGGTGGTTAAAATCAAAACGGATTGTGAGGCGCTCCAACGGGAGCTCTCCAGGCTGGGAGGATGGCCCCCCAAATTGTACATGCAGCTCAATGTACACAAGTGCAGAGTAACACATGCAGGGGCAAAACATCCCAACTGCAAGTAAAGGCTGATGGGATCTGGGATAGCGGTGACGGAGCGAGAGAGGAATCTCGGGGGGCGGAGGGGCAGCTCAATGAAAACGTCAGCCCAGCGCTCAGCTGCCCTGAAGAAGGCAAACTCCAGGCTTGGCATCGTTAGGAATGGGATAAAAAGCAGAGCTCCAAAATCCCGCTTCCCTTTATGCGCATCGTCGGTGCGACAGTCCTTGGAGTACTGTGCTTGGTTCTGCTCACCTTACCTGGAAAAGGACATCACTGAGTTGGAGAAAGGACCGAGAAGGGCAAAGAAGAGGGTCCAGGGGCCCCCTGAGCAGCAGCTCCAACTGGGACTGTTCAGCTTGGAAAAGGGCGCGTGAGGGGAGAATGACGTGCCTTTGAGACATGGCACAGGTGGAGGAAGGTCTCCCTCTTCCATGGCACTCGAACCTGGTGAAGCCGATCGTGGCAGATCAAAGGAAAGATCAAAGGAAAGACTAAGGCTGAACTATGGCATTTGCTGCCATGGGAAGTGGTGGTGGCCACCCATTAAAAGGGGCTTGGAAAGATCCACGGAGGAGGAGGCGATCCGTGGCCACTGGCCTCGCTGGCCCTGGGCTCCCTCCTTGACCAGAGGTGGCCTTACTGCATGCCTCAGTTGCTGAGGAGCCTGGGCAGGAGGAGGTCTTGCATCCACCCTGCTGGAGGGGTCCTAGGCACAGCTGGGTTGCCACCGTGGGTAAAGGGCGGTGGGCTAGGTGGCGCTTGGGTCTGAGCCAGCACGTTCTTGGGGTCCAGACTCTCTCACTCTGCCTGAGAGAGCGCAGTAGGTGACCTTGGGACCACGAAGTCCCCCTCCCCGTTCTCCGCCTCAGAATCGGACGAGGGGGTCTCCTGCAAAGCTTGGGGGTCCCCATGTCCCGTCTGAGAATACCTGTCCTCAGCAGGGAGAGCAACGGTGAGACCCATTTCCTCCACCCACCGCGAGGTGCTGTGGAATCCAGGCTGGGTGGTCCAGGCAACCCGCATTCTTCCAGGGGGGCTGTCGCTGCCCCACCAAGAGCCCCTCAAATACCTCCCAAGGCCGGGTGCCTGTGGCCGGGTGGGTGGCCTCAATCGCCACGGGACCGAGAGCGGGTCTCCGGAGGACCGGTCCCCCGCTTCCTCCTGAAGGACATCGGAAGCCCTCCCCACCCCGCCCTGCCCTGTGCAAGGACACCTTGGCCACTGCTGGACCCGTCCGTTTGCATGCCCCTGGCCAGCTTTTGTTAGCCAGAAGGGGCAAGGACGGGGGGGTGTGGGTGGCCGCCTCCTTGGAAGCCCCCTGCCCTGCCCCCAGGCCTCGGCGAAAGGTGTCGATTCCCCCTCCCAAACCAGCCCTCTCGCCCAGTTCACTGCAGGCGCAATCCAGGTGGTCCGCAGATGTGCGCTGCAGGAAGGTCGCCATGGGGCTGGGGGGTGCGGGAGGGAGAGCCGCTGCTCTCCTCTCGGGGGTGAGGGGTCCTCACCCCCCTTGCGGTTCAGGCGGCCTCGCCCAGCAGCCCCCCGGCCCGGCCAGGCATGCCTGATGTCTTGCGCATGAGAATCGGCCCTCTTGCCCCACCTGCATCCAGCTTCCCTGGGCCTGGGCGCTTGGGAGACACAGCCCCCTGCCGGAGGGGCCCGTGGTCCCGATCCAGAGCTGCCCGGGTGCACGGCTCGTGACCCTCCCAAGCCCTTGCTGGCTGGCGCCTGCTGGGCAGCACGGCTGACGTGGTCCCCCGGCGTGGGAGCACAGCAAGCCTCGTACAAAGGGGAGGTGGGAAGGGGGTGTCGGCGGGGGCCTTGGGAAGGTGGAGGACGGGGCAGCCAAAGCGCCCCGGCGCAGCCCTCTGTCCGAGCCCCTTCTGCCTCGCTCTCCTCGCCTTCCAGGCGACGCCGCAGGTCTTCTTGCTCTCTGTGGCTCACACATCCGGCTGTGCACCGGCCCGGGCACAACGGCACATGTGAGCACACGGCCTCTGCGACCTTGCGCAGCACGGCCTCTGGGTGGCAGCGTCGCCCCCCTTCTGCCGCCTCCGCTCCGTGTGGCTCAGGACTGACCGACCTCCTGAGCCTTCTGGGCGGCCGCGGCTCCCCCCGCAGCGCGGCTCGGGGCAACACGTGTGCCCGGATCGTGCCGCCACACCACCCGGGAGCGGCCGTGGTGCAGGGCGCGCCACTCAGACCCCCTCTGCCCAGCGCAGGGGCAGGTTTAAGGGGGGTGGGCAGCCGTGGAATCACACGTGCTGGAAAGGGTCTGTCAAGCTGTGGGAAAATGAGAGCCAAGCTGGAGGGAGCCTTTCGGACGCTGGGGGTGGTGAAGCTACCCCTGGACTGCCGCTTGCCCATATGTCTGGGGCCCCCGTGGTCTGGAAGCGGGCCTGCTGCTCGGAGTGAGAGCACGTGCTTTCCCAGAGCGCGTCCCACCAGGACGACGCTGCTCCCTCGTCACTGGCAAGGCACACACCCGGAACTCGGGGTGGTGGGCTTTGGGGGTCCCCTCTGGCATCGTGGCCCTCCTTGGGAGGTGGCCCCTCGCTCTTTCAGCAGGACGAGCTGCAGCGGGAAGGATGCCGATGCGGTTGCAAAGCAGAGAGCAGTTCACAGGAAGGCGCTCTTCGGGGGGGGGGGGTTGTGCTTGCCACGGGCAGCAGCTCCTCTGGGATTCAGGGCGGGTTGGACGCGGCATGTGGCTGGGCCCCCAGAGAGCAACCACAGCGCAGAGGGAAACAAAACTATGAGAGTTCCTGCACTTTTATATTTTATAAATATATTTTATATATATTTTTGCTGATGGCGTTAAAAAGTTGGTACAACGCTGGGGAAAATGTATCACAGAGGAAGGTGACCGTGCAGAAAAGGGATGTAATTTGTTTCTGAAATTCTAAATACATAGAGTTTTCAAAAGTGTGGAAAGTTTTTGAAGACCCCTGGCATGTGAAGCTAGGGGGACGAGAGGGTTCCCTCTTTCAGGGATGCTTGCGGATCAGGAGGGCCCGCTCAGGGTCATCGTGTGGCGGACGTGGGCAAAGCCTTTGTGGGTTGCACTCAGCTCCTCCCTGGAGGCCTGTAGGAAAGAAAGGCCTTGCATGTTTCTAGTCCTGATGGAGCAAAGGGTGAGGGTTCCTCCCCCATCACTAGAGAACACTTGTTGTTACTTCTAGGACTGGTAGGTGGGGGATCTCCGCAGGCCAGATTGTCCGCAGGCTGGATTTGGCCCACATGTTGGGGGTCCCTGGAAGAATTTCGTGGTCCTCAAGATTACTGCTGCCCCAGGCAAGAGAGCTGCCGCTGTGGAGAGGTACAGAAATGGAATAATGCATGCACAGATGCTTAAACTAAACTAGGTTTAGCCGTCTTGGTTTGGAGATGGAAACGTGACTACCTCTGATGCATGCGCTGGATTTCTGG